TCCGCCATTTTTTCCCCCTTTTCCTTAGCTGTGCTACTCCCTTTTATTCTATTGGCTTTTGAAAGCCAATAGAATTAAACTCTATTCAAGAGAGTCTATTCTATTGGCTTTCAAAAACCAATAGAATAAAAGGGAGTAGCACAGCTAAAGAAAAGGGGGAAAAATGGTGGACTGCGTTGTTTGGTGACCCCCGTGAAATGGTCGTTCGACCCCAAATGGGGTCCCGACCCACAGGTTGAGAACCGCTGCTTTAAAGTAACAGAAACAATTTAGAATACAATTGGAGTACATATAGAAAGCAAGCAGGAATAAATGAACAACATCTGGGCTATATTATACATGAAAAATTGATTATAAATAAAAGATTATGTTTTGAAAGATTATACTTTGCTTGATCTCTACATCTCCGAAAATATAAAAAGACTAAAACTGTTGTGTTCTTCAACAAACTTTGTCTTCCAAAAGATCATTGAAATAATGTTCTTGTTCCGGTTTGCGATCGCGGTGCTGGAGGACATGTAGGTCAATCGCTCTTTCTGCCATCCAGTTTTCTCCTGCCGGGGACCCTGAAGAGGGTAGGAAGTTGCCCTGTAGGGGCAACGAATGCGAAGAGGACCCCCGAGTGATCGTGGAAGGGCAGCAGCCCTCCCGTTTGATCCGGGGCAGCTCTTCAAACTGATGGGGAAAAGATCGGCCATCAACATGGCCCATCATTAAGCTGCTGACAGCCAAGGCCAAATTCACTAATAAGCACCTTGAAAGCAATGTGGAGGAATTGGGTGAGATTTAACTTCTCTGTACCCCAAGTATTTTTCCTGTTAAAAGCTTCTTGAAAGCCTTTCCCCCAGTGAGGAGAGGGGAAAGGGATTTTTTTTCACCCTCTAAAATGGCAGCATCTGACTACTTGGGGAAACAAAGCATTGAAAGGTATAATTTAATATAATTGGACTTACCTTCTTTTGGAATTTGGGGACCCAAAAAAATTCCTACTCTTATGGGGACCTGCTATTTTATTTACTTGTAAAAAAGAAGAAAAAGAATTTAAATTGGATAAAAACCTAGCCCGGGATTTGAAAAAGACTTTAAATGCTATCAGGGACATTTTGTGGCGAAGCTTGGTACAGCAATCTATTACTTTTGACAAAGAGACTTGCTCATAGCCAGGATTTGATCTTGGTATTACCTAAGAGAGATTAAAAGCTGAGAGAGCAGCTGGGCAGTGAAAGTGGTTTTTAGGAATTGTGGAGGTGAACACTTACTGACTCTTGTTTAATAAATAGCCTTCACTAAAAGGCCATCTATAACCAGTGCTTTTTTTGTATATATAAAAAAAGGTGTCGGAACTCACACATGTCATACAACCTGCCTTGCCTACCCTACAAGGTTCCATCCAAAAAAGGTGCCAGAACTCTGTTCTGGGCAGTTTATGGGGAAAAAAAAGCCCTGTCTATAACCATGTCAGAAATGGACCGGGAGCAGCAAAAAATATCGACTATGTATAAACTTATACTTGAAAAAATTCTTGAAGCCATTGAGATAATCAAATCTAGACTGAAAGACCAAGGTGCCAGCTTAAATCTACAAAGCAAAACCCTGACTGCAACTAAAGAACCTACAATCCCAAAAACAACAGAAGCAGAGGAAATTAATGACAAAACAGAGGGCCTTAAAGATCAACAAGTACAGTTCACTGAAAATCCTGACAATGAAACAACTTTAAAAATGGAAATGACTTTCTACGCAAATCAGAAGAAACCTGAGAAAGAAGAAGACCAGATCAAATGGAAGACAACTATACCAAAGCAAATATGGGGATCTGGGCTATCAAGGCGACAACTTAAAGATTATAGATGGGCCAGTTCTTCCAGAAAATTGGCAACTAAATGGTCTCCTTTAATTCAAGTAACATCCACAAGAATGAAGGGAGATTTATTTGATGATTTAAAAGCATAGGTATGGAAGCCTGGTTGGCATATGAAGAAAGCTAGAATTAAGTTGAAAAATCGGGGTCTTTTGATTTATTAGAGAGTATTCTAAACTGGGAAAATAGTATGAAACTAACTATTAGGAAATAGGTTTGAACTATTGATTAATCCAGATAATATAGATGATCGACTTGAGCTAGCAAAGGATACTCGATTATTAAGGTGGATGTACTAGGGTGAGAAATAGAAAACGTTTACGCAATAGAATAAGAATATATTTAAGTAAGTAATATGTGTATTTTAGATATTATAATTTTTACGAAGTGAGACAAAGGAAATTTGGGTTATCCGAAACTCAAATACTATGGATATTAAAGGTTAAATTGGAGTATGATGATTAAAAATTAGGTGACCAACCATCCTCCTTTAGGGAGGACAGTCCTTCTTTTGTGAGTTCTGTCCTCCCTCGAAAAGTGTCCTCCTACATGTCTTCCTTTTCGATATTTGAAGACTAATCTGCAGGGCTTTTTTTTTTCTCATAGAACGCTCAGAACGGCATTCTGACACCTTTTTTTGATGGTTTTTTTTTTCAATTTTTGCATGAGCTGTGCTACTCCCCCTATTGGCTTTCAAAAGCCAATAGGAATTGCTGCTGACCGCGCCAAAACACCCGGCCAGCAACCTTTGCACATGTAAGTTGTCTTCAGCGAAGGCAAATTGGCAGGAACTTTGCACCCCTCCCTGCTACCCAACTACACCATCTCCGAGTTAGTCCCGAAGATACCTGGAGGAGACTGGAGTGGCGATGCCACGGTAACTTTCTCTTTATCTTCGGCCCTGCTAGGGCAATAATGGCTGCGGGCGCAAGAGGCAGGGGTGGCGGGGCTCTGTGGGCAGGGGTGTGAGGGGCGGCAGTGGCCGGCTGCTCCCCGTACTGTGGGAGCTGCGGGGCCTGCTCTACATGGGCTGTGCAGTGTGGGTGGTGGTGCTGGCGGGGCGGCTGCAGGCGGGGTGTATTGATGGTGGGCTACCCCCCGGGGCCAGAGCCAGCACAGCTGGTGCTTTGGGAGCCACGGGGCCTACTCTACATGGCGGGGCAGCAGTGCTGGCAGGGCGGCTGCAGGCAGGGATGCAGCATGTAAGCATAATTACAATATAAAATGTTATTGTTACAAATGTTTTTTATTATGCATTTATCATATTATAGTGTATTCTGTATTATTGCTGCAATGAATAAAATGTTTCTTTTATTTACAATATTTTTTTCTTCAATTTATTTGTGTCCTCCTTTTCATTGTAAAAAATTAGGTAAAATTTAATAACGGTATGGATTGTTTATGAAGATTTATTAAGATATGTATAAGCAAAAATGTATTGACAAATGTGATAATGAAGTTTTCACTGAAATTAATATAATTAGAAATTTATTAGCTTATATAGCAAATGTTAAGGGAAACAGAAAATATTTGATGATGTAACCTGAGAAATGTACTAAAGATTTTGTTATTGAACTATTGATTCACCCAATCACCACGTTACTCTCCAAATACTCAAATGTAAAACTGGAAAACTGATAAAATATTATTTTTAAAAAAGAAAAAAATAATGTTCTTGACTATTTCTGAGTATTAATATTTTCCATCAATTTAAGTAAATCTGACCAATAACACCATGTACTCTCTCAATTTAAATGTTGCTGAGTTGTATTCACACAATTCATAACTGGCCATCTTTATTGTACTGATTGTGGGTTTCAATTCAACAACTTCTGGAGGCTGCATATTTTTCCTCTTTGTTTTAAAAATTAGAATTACATTGACCATTTTTCATGTCTCAAGAATGAATACTAATTTTAGGGAGAAATTGTATATTTTAATTAATTTAGAGCTGCACACTTTAATTATTAAAAACTCTTGAGTAATACTAGAGCCCAGGGAGCTTGAAGTAAATTAAATTAGAGCTAAATATCCTGTTCTGATCATTCACTTCCTTTCAAAAAATCATACTTGATGTTGTAGTTATCTAATGTCAAATATCTATGCAAGGATGCCCATATTCATGCATACAAAGACTTTCTTCGCTTGATTTTGTAATTGTTTCTTTGGTTTTATTGCCAAAGATCATTGACACTTATGTTTGCCCACTATTTAGGATAGGTTTTCAAATTTGTTCAGCCTGCAGAACATGTTAGTTGAAAACAAATTCCTGGAATTCCTGATCAAGGTGCAAAGCTCCAAGGACAAAAAAATTGGCTATGTTCAATTGAAATCCCTGCCCCCTTAGTTTTTCCTGAAGCCCCTCTTGTTCTCCCAGGATCCAGTGGTTCTATGGAACGTAGATTAAAAACTCTGTATTAGGCAACAACCTGTGAGCTAGAAATATAAGCCATTATTCCTGGTATTTGATGTTACTTGAGCTTAAAAACTTTTTATTCTGGATTCTTCCAAATATTAAATCAATTGTATTGTGTATTATAAGGGGCACAGTGGTCTAGTGGTTAAGATGCTGGGCTTGTCAACTGGAAGATTGGCAGTTCAAGACCAAGTACCACTTGATGGCATGAGCTCCCAGGCAATCTCCAAGAACTGGACATGATTGAACAAGGGAAAGAATTATTTAATACATGGCTAGAGAAATAAGCATATATGTTCTTGGCCTATTCATTATTATTTTTGAATAGTATCTTCCTCAAAAGCCAATTGGTCCTCTGCTCTGAAAAAGTTAAACAGCCAGTTCTAGTTCATCCCTTCAACCTCAGAGAATTAGTATATTGTAGCTCAGAGATGGGCAATCCTCGGATGACCAAAGGCTGTGCTTAACATTGGCAGAGTTGATGAGCATAAAGAAAATGGAGGCATGCCTCATATTCAGAGGTACTTTATTAATTACTTATTAATAATTATTATGTTTAGAATTTGTTTGTTGTGGAATTTATCATCTCATTTGATTATGATTTGTATTACCTATTTTAAAATGTGGAGAAATGGCTGTTAGTTTTCAGCACATGTGCATAGTTTGAGGTATTAAATGTAATGCTTCCTTTTCTATTATAAATAATAATGCCAAACAACATGGTAAAATTAAAATGAAATATAAAATTTATTCACTGAAGTGATATTTTCAGGTCAAGTAGAGAAATTTTGTGGACTCCTTCCTTTAGCCTAAACAATAAATGAAAAGCAACCAATTGTTGAAAATTACAAAGAATATTTCAGTTTATTCTATGTAATCTCTGTATGATTGTATACACAGAGAGAGGGAGAGGGAGAGGGAGGGAGGGAAAGAGAGAGAGAGATTCCTATTTTATTCCTTTTCATCAAAATGGATGCCCAGTCAACATGTTTTAATTTAAAAGTCGCATTGTGTCAGGAAATGACTATTACACAAGGAAACTTCATTGGGCGAGTTTTGATCCCTGACCCAAAACTATTCCAAAAATGCTAGTTTGAGGGAATGAAAACCTAATGAAGGTCATCCTTGGCAGAATAGGGATACTATTCTGAAGTTGGACTGCTTTCTCCATTGGATGGGAAACTAATTTTACTTACTGGCAATGAATTTTATATAATCTTATAAAGGAATAAACTTCCCCCAATATCCCATGAATTGTACAAAATCAAAACATTAATATTTCAAGAATCCAAAATATACACAAGTAATATTTTTGCACCAATATCAAACTACCGCTAAGACAATTACATTAAAATAATATTTTTAAAACTTTCCTTCCTAGTGCAGAAAAAAATTAGTTACAGGAGGAATTTCACATGTTGATGGAATATAACAATCTTAAAGGACCTTTCCCCTTACAGTGAACACTTTATATTTCCCAACATTATCATGCTACATAATCTTTGTTGCCATCCAAATTCATAGCTTAGTAATTTTCTGAAAAACAAACTTGGACTGTGTCCATCTTTTTAGAGCAATACAGGAAACCTGCAATATCAGAATAGTGTACAAATACAGCATTCATAATCCAATCTATTTCTTGATTATACAGAGGTAACTTATACAGGGGGAACTTACACTAACATACCAAAAATATTAATAAAACTACAGCCTCAGTATATTTAGAAAGAATAAAGTACTTATTTTTTCAAAAAGTGAATTGAAACTCTTTGAAGTTAAAATTATCAAATATGTTCGGCTATAAAAGATATTTTAAATGTATCTCAGATATGATATGGTATATATAATATGCTTTGCTCAAGCAAAGAATTGATTCTTTTCACTGTATGCAAAGTACTCAAGTAAATCTATAATATTTCAATTAGAACTGCATGTCATATTCATGTACTACGTAATTCGTAAATTAACATTACCAAAACATACTTCATTCAGTTCAAATCTGGTCTTCTAACACCAAAGTAGCTTTGTTAAAAGTGACTTGATCCATAAAATTAAATCATATTTTTCTCTACACATGTACTCTGTAAGATTGCTGAAACGCCTTCATTTCTGATAGAATGTCAGTATATGAAACCTGTCCAGAGAATCATCACACATATATGAATTTCATGGATGGAAAAAGCTGATAACGTATTTTTTAAACTTCTTACTAGCAAAAGCATAAATCAAAGGATTAATACAGCAATGAGCTACTGCAACTGTTTCAGTCAGTTGCAATGCTGCATTCATTCTCTTTAAATTGTCACAGCTGTCAGCAAAAAATGAAGTGTGAAATAACTGAAGCAGATAAAAAATGTTGTTCGGGGCCCAGAAGAGGAAGTAAGTAACCATGATGATAAAAATAAGCCAGGCTGTTTTGTTCTTCTTCGCATTCCTGGATTTCAACAGGGCATTTAAGATGCGTATATAGCAGAAAGTCATAATCATCATTGGAAAAATCAGACCTATAAAGAACATTTTCAGTATAAAAAATTTGTTCCATGCAAAATGATTTTCATGTGGAAAATTATAAGTGCAAGATTTCTTATAGTTTTCCACCTGTAATCGCCAAAAAATAAATCCTGGTGAAGAGACTAAAATTGCCAGGCCCCATGTATGAATGCTTGTAATGATACCATAGCGTATGGTCTGGGATTTTAATGCAGATGCTGAATAAATGATATCTAAATATCGATCAATGGTCAAGAGGACAATGAAAAAACTTTTACTGTAGAAGCATAAAAAAAAGATCCCAGCATAAATTTTGCATATTGTGTCTCCAAATATCCAGTCATGTATTGAATAATAAATCCGAAAGGGAAGTGAAAAAATGAAAAGCAGATCAGAGATGGCTAAATTTAACAGATATATATCAGTCATGACCTTAATCTTCTTATATTTGATGAGGACGAGTACAACCAGCACATTGCCTACAAGGCCAAAGATGAATACCAAAGAATAAAATGTTGGCAGGACATTAGAAACAAATGTTTGCAAACCCACAGAGTGACATGGTGTTACTGCACCATCGTAGTCAAATTCAGTGATGGGAAATGCTTCATCAGTTATTCCATTCATTGGCGTACTACTTGTTCCCTGTAACTGAAAAAAAATGTTATATACATGTTAAAAAGAACAAAATATTTATCATTGCCACAAGCAAATGACAATAAGGATACAGTAATTTCTAATTACAAGAAAACAGATTGAACCAACATAGGAAAAAACAATCAAGAAATACAAAGTAGTTTTTAGTGTTCAACTGCATAACTTTAAGGTACCACGTAACTGACTTACTGAAGATCTGTTACAGCTGCTATTAGATTAAACTATTAAACCAAAAAAAAATACTATATTTGTGGAGAAAAATTAAAACTCTATTTCTACTAATTTATCTGTAATAGCTAACTAAGGTATGTAGGAAGCACATCACAATAGTAATGGGGGATTTTAACTACCCTGACATCAACTGGGAGACAAATTCTGCACCAAGTGGAAGATCAAACAGATTCCTGACAAACCTAGCAGACAACTTTGTCTCCCAAAAAATAGAGAAGGGAACTAGGGGATTAGCCATTCTGGATCTAATTCTCACTAACAGAGATGAAATGATAGAAGGTGTTGAAGCCACAGAACCTTGGGAAGAAGTGATCATGCAATATTGTAATTCAACAATGTGGAAGCACAAGCAATAGAACACAGACAAACTGGAGTCTTAGACTTTAAAAGAGCCAATTTCAATAAACTTAGGGAGCGCTTGCGAAGGATTCCATGGATGAGAATCCTCAAGGGGAAAACAACTCAAGAAGCTTGGGAAATTTTGAAAAGTGAGATAATAAAAGCACAGTTTAGCACAATACCAACAAAGAGGAAAAATAACAGCTCTCAAAAGAAACCAGCATAAAGAACTCTCTGATAAATTGAAAGATAAAAAAGGACAAGTATAAAAAGTGGAAAGAGGGGCACATAACTAAATTAGAATATCAGCAAATAGCCAGAGCCGGCAAAGATGAAGTGAGGAAAGCTAAGGCTCAAAATGAACTAAGGCTTGCGACCAAAGTAAAAAATAACAAAAAAAGCTTCTTTCAACATGTAAAAAAACAAGAAAAAGATGAAAGAAATGATTGGTCCATTAGTAGGTGAAAGTGGCAAGAAGCTAACAAGCAACAGGGAGAAAGCAGAACTATTTAACTTGTTTTTTTGCATCTGTCTTTACACAAAGGGAAAAAATAGACCAACCTATCAAAAATAGTGCCATAAAAAACAGAATAGAAACACAAGTTAAGATAGGCAAGAAAATGGTAAGTGAGCACCTGTCCAGCCTAGATGAGTTCAGATCACCAGGACTAGATGGATTACACCCCAAGGTTCTCGAGGAACTGGCAGATGTGATCTCAGAACCACTGAACTATATTTTTCAAAGATCCTGGAACATTGGGGAACTACCAGAGGACTGGAAAAGAGCTGATGTAGTTCCCATCTTCAAAAAAGGAAAAAAATGGATCCAGGAAATTACAGACCTATCAGTCTGACCTCAATACCTGGGAAGATTCTGGAAAAGATATCAGCGAACACCTAGAGGCAAACAAAATCATTGCCAAAAGCCAACATGACTTTGTAAAAAACAAATCATGACAGACAAATCTTATTGCTTTCTTTGACCAAGTGACAAAATTAGTGGAGCAGAGGAATGCTGTGGATATAATTTACTTGGACTTCAGTAAGGCATTTGATAAAGGAGATCACAACCTACTACTTGATAAGATAGAAAAATGTGGGTTAGACAGCATCACCACCAGATGGATTCGTAGCTGGCTGACTGGCCGCACTCAGCATGTGGTCATCAATAGAACTGCATCTACATGGAGGGAAGTGTGTAGTGGGGTGCCCCAGGGCTCTGTTCTGGGCCCAGTGCTCTTTAACATCTTCATCAACGATTTGGACGAGGGGATAGATGGGGAATTCATCAAATTTGCAGACGACACCAAGCTGGCAGGAATAGCCAACACTCCAGAAGACAGGCTTAAGATACAGGAGGATCTGGACAGACTTGAACACGGGGCGCTATCTAACAAAATGAAATTCAGTGGTGCAAAAAGTAAGGTTCTACATTTAGGCAAGAAAAACCAAATGTACAGGTATAGTATAAGAGGTACTTTGCTCAATAGTAGTAAGTGTGAGAGGGATCTTGAGTCCTAGTGGACAATCACTTAAAAATGAGCCAGCAGTGTGCTGTCGCAGCCAAAAAAGCCAACAGAGTGCTAGGCTGCATTAACAGAGGGATAGAATCAAGATCACATGAAGTATTAATACCATTTTACAATGCCTTGGTAAGGCCACATTTGGAATACTGCATCCAGTTTTGGTCACCACAATGTAAAAAAGATGTTGAGACTCTAGAAAGAGTACAGAGAAGAGCAACAAAAATGATTAGGGGACTGGAGGCTAAAACATATAAGGAATGGTTGCTGGAATTGGGTATGTCTAATTTAATGAAGAGAAGGACGAGGGGGGACATGATAGCAGTGTTCCAATATCTCAGGGGCTGCCACAAAGAAGAGGAAGTCAAGCTATTTTCCAAAGCGCCTGAAGGCAGGACAAGAACGGATGGAAACTAATCAAGGAGAGAAGCAACTTAGAACTAAGGAGAAACTTCCTGACAGAACAATTAACCAGTGGAACAACGTGCTCATATAAAAGTTTTCAAGTAACAAATATGTCGCAATGAATTTTTGTCTTCCAAAACCTTGGATCATCCAGAATTGTGATCACAACCAAAAGTTGTATTCGACCTTACTGAATACCATTTAGTCAATACGATGCTCAGATTTTGTTTTCATTCAGATTTGAATGTTTGGAAGAGGGCCACTTTTGGACCTTTAAAAGACTTTCTACCATTTAAAACTGAAACATCAGGCAAATGAGGATCCAAGTGTAGATTTATTTTTCCATAGCTACAAGACGATACAATTTTAGAGGCAATGTTAGACATTCTGGTTTGTTTGAACAATTGTGTTCTGAATTTCTGTTTATTTTTCATTGCCTTTATTATGAAGTGAAATCACATAGAAATCATATATCAGAGCTTCACTTTCTGTAACACAGCTACAGTGTTTATTCTCCATGATTCATGAGTGATTCATGAACATCTACACTTCTCCCAAATCAAAAATGCTGAGATCAAGAAGTGAAAATCAGTTTGTATTGTCCCAATATCCTCATTCCATTCTTTTTACTTTGAATTAAAAAACTAAAGATCGGTAGAAATAAAGGTTCATTGTAATTAATGCAAAATCCATGTTTGAGAGATATGTTGATAGAGCTAAGAAAAATATCCCAAAGTTGCAAGTAAGTTTTTGAGTTTTCAAAATTGTTCTTTAGGAGTAGAAATTACAAATCATTGATGATTTGCATACTTCATAATAAAACATCTCTATTTTTTTAACTTAATGTTTTGCCCTATCTCTTGTCACCCATATGTTATGGGCAGTATTGGGCAGCTATATACTGTATACCATATAAAACAGATTCCGCATTTTTTCATCATAGAATAAAATAGTTACCCTTATTTGAAGTAGTCTATGGAGAGACACATTGTTATATAAATAATGTAAGAAAGAATCATCATAATTATGTATTTTCATACACATATTTAACCTTCAATATTATTCACCTAACAACAGTATGAGACATTTTTCAATGGGATCTTTTACTACTCTTAGATCTATGAGAAGGGCATATCCACTTGGCATTAATTAATTGAAGAAAATAGTCTCAAAGTCTTGTATTTGTGTGCTCTCTGAGAAACAAAACAGAACAACATCATCTGAAGGGAAGAACAGAGTTTAAAAAAGAAGCATGGGAACTGGAGACATTAACAAAAATCTTCATATTGATAGTACAAGTGTACTGAAGAAAAACAGTAGAGGGGAAGAACTTAAAATTGAATGTAATTGTAGAAACATTTTGTGAAGAGTCTCAGATTTTATAGTTACTGAAAATGCAGAAAAGTATTTTGCAATTTCACCCTACCAGCAGAATTGTAGTTCCTACATACAGTTCTGTGAAGAAATACTAGCTCTGTGAAGGAACTATCAGTTTCTAAGTGACCCATTTCTGTAATCAAATCAAAAACTGAACAAGCAGAAATAGGAACACTGCAAAATCTGATTCATAATTGAGTCATCGAAAAGGGGAACTGAAGAAAAGGAAGTGTCTCCCCTCCCCTCCCTCCCCACCTGTCTCCTTCCTTCCTAGACACAGAAGAGCGACACTGCCAGCTAAAAAGAGAATACACTATGGCATCCATACCTCTTCATTATCCCTTTGCCATTGTTTCAGCGGTGACAACTATTCTAGATCTCTCAGAAACATGCGACTCTTGGAAAGAAGAACCAATGATAGGTGGCATTGTTAGGAATAAGAGTGTAAGATCCCCCAAAAGCAATACCCCGGTTCATAGTATGTTTAGGTGTGCTTCATGTATGTGTTTCACTTTGAGAGCGGGCAACTAAATTTCATTTTTGATGTGTGCTGTTGGGCCCACAGTAAAAAAATGACAATAAAGGTTATCTCATCTCATCTTATCTTATCAATTAGAGCAGTGGTTCTTAACCGGGGCGATATCATTTTTCAGGGGGGCGATGGAACGAAAATGGGCGACACAGGAGCGAAGGAATGAAAGGGGGGCAATATGGGGGCGATGGAGTGAGAAGTTTTGGGGACACTTTTGAGCCTTCCCCTGCAGCTCTGAGCCTCCTCCGCCATTTGCAGAGAGAGACAGAGAGAGGCCCTTGTGCTTCTCTCTCTCTCTCTCATGTGGACTTGCATCCATGCAGGGCTCCTGATTGGCCCTGCACCCGGGTACCCCGCCCCCTGGGAGAAACATGGCCAGGAAGTCCCTTTCCCTGGGTGGCCCCGTCCGAAGTGCATGTGGCCAGGGAACCACGCGGGGAAGCCCCAGGATCCCCACTGGGAGCAGCCTGCCAGAGCCTCAGCTGATCAGGCCAGCTTTCCCACAAGCTGTGGCCCTGAGGGAGAACAGCCCCTGCGATCCCCAGCTGTGGGACCATTGGCCCAGCTAGCTGGGAAGGCGCGCCAGAGTCCCGGCTACTTTGTCGGCGAAGAATGTGGGGTGAGCAGAAGATGGGGGGGGAGAAAGGGAGGGGGAGGCAATTTCCAACCAGCAGCAAAAGAGCCCTGGCTGGACCTGCGGGAACACTTCCTCCTGGGCCCGGCTCTGGCTTCCTTCCCCTCCTCCTCCTCCTCTTCTTTCTCCTGCTGCCTCCCAGGCAGCAGTCCCGGCTAGGCCGGTGGCCAGCAGGGGCATTGCTCGCTGAGCAATGCTGGTGGGTCACGGATCGCCGGGAGCACCATGTGGTGTGGCCCAGCTCCTCCAACATGATGGACCTACCAGCAGCACGGGAGGCTCCAGTGTTGGTCCTGGCGGGAAGCGGATCATTGCCCCCGTTCTGACCGAGGACGCCAGAAGCATGGGAGAAGGTTTGGCGATGCAGCTGATGGGGGGCATTCTGCAGATGCCCCGCGACTTAAGCCCGGGGGCACTGGCGGTGCAAGGGGAAGCTTGGCAATGCAGCTGATGGGCAGGGCATTCCGCAGATGCCCCGTGGCCCCAACTTGAGCCCAGGGATGCCAGCAGCACATGGGATGGCCTGCCAATATGACCGTGAGCCAGGGCGTCCCCGCAGGCCCAGCAGGCAGTGGAGTTGGGTGCCTCCAGCGGTGACAGGGGGTCTTCTGCTGCCTCCTGCCCCACTCCCCGCTCCTTCGGCACCCTCTGCCTTTCGTTCTCTCTCTCTTTCTCTCTCTCTCTCTCTCTCTCTCTCTCTCTCTCCTCACCTGAAGAAAGAAGGGGGAAGGGAGGGAGAGGAAAGAGAGAGGGAGAGGGGAAAGAGAAAAAGAGAGAGAGAAAGAGAGAGAGAAGAGAGAGAGAGAGGAAGCGCAAGTGCTTCTCTCTCCATCTCTCTCTCACACACACATACTGAGCGGGGAAGAGGACTGGCAACCAAAGGCAGAAAGAGGGAGAGAGAGGGAGGGAAGGAGAGAAGGAGACCCTTTTGACATCTAAAATGAAGATAACACTGAAGGTGTATATGTATTTTGTTTTCAGTGGTCATTACATTTAAGTGTCTTGAATAAATAAGATAATAATGAAATACATGTATCACGAAGTTTGGGAATAAAGTGACAGGTGGCACTTTATGGGAAAAAGTCTGGAAATAAATTATTTGCATCATATGTCCTGATGACAATTTTAAAGAAAACAAAAAAAGAGTTTGCATAAATTGAAGAATTATTTCCTATGTTGTGATTGAGAGGTTATGTTGGGGGAGGGGGCGATGACAACTTCCTCATTGGCTCAAGGGGGTGATTCGTTCAAAAAGGTTAAGAACCACGGAATTAGAGGACTTGAAAGGCATTAGTACTGTTATCTGAGATAACAATTTCAGTAAATAAATCCAACTGCCAACAATAATTTGCTAAAAGGAATAGAATAAGGAGATGAATGTCTGTATAGAATCAATAATAAAAAAAGAACATGACTTTTAATTTGAGTATCATCACTGCATGAGTATTATCTCACCTCATGGCAATTTTCTTTAATTTCTCTTCTGTGACTGATGTTGAAACATTAAAATATTATATTGGAAAAAATGTACGAAACCTAAAAAAAACCATTCTTCAGTATTATTCATTTCTTACATAGGAACTGCATTGAATTCACTGTAGGCAATGTATAATTAACATGTATTCACTTTTCTACCCTAAATATATATACAGATCTAAGTTTTACATTATTACAAACAAATGTTTATTCATAAAAATAAATATTTATTCTTCTAAGATTTTGGGAAGGTAGAATGACTGCCAACATGTATCTAAAATAAAGAAATTAATAAAGCAGATTTCTCTTTTAATTGTTATGTTAGAAAACAGTGGAGGTCTACTGAGGGCACGTAATAGTTTTATTATATAAAAATCTCTGAAAAATAATCACAGTGGCCAACAGATACCTTTTTTTCTTCCTTCCTAGATTGTTGCTGTTTTTAAAAATTAATATTCCCCTTTTAGCATTACCTTCTATAATTATCTTCTTTGGGACATTTTGTATTGCAAAACTGAACACATTTAATCATACTTGTTTTCTATATTTCTGTAGCATAAAAAACTTTCCTCCTAATGGAAAACAAGTAAATAAGGATATTCTTTTGATCATGGATACTGGATGTTTCATAACAATTAAAAGTACTTGCTCACTTTTAATAAGATGATAAATATATTTCCCTGTCCCCCACACTTTTTTGGAAAGAGAATCAAAAATTTAAAATATTCATACAAACAGAGGGCAAATAGAGTATATTTAAATTTCACATTTCCAATTGTTTTTAGTAAACAATATAAACTCCAATATAATTTCCAATATAAATTGGAAATATTTGATAGTTCATTAATCTTTGATATTGAAACATTATGATATGTAATAATTACACTTTTTGTGTTAATAGGTAACATTACAGGATTAGAAGTCAGTGCAATATTTGTATTTGGAAATTTTGCCTTATATCCACAGAAAACATTCCTAATTTAAATTGACTCACCAGTTTACAAACTTGAAAGCATCATCTTTTTTCCAGACACAGTAAAAATTTAAAATAATGTACTTAAGCAAAAGCAATCTTTTTTTATGAAGAATTGTTCAAATTCTGAAAAACTGTTAGTCAACAGATTTTGTCGTTTTTTTAAAAAGTCCAAAACCACTTTTCTTCTTTTAAAAATAATCCTTTGGCATTTTCCTTAAGTTTCTTGATTAAAGCCAGTGACTTTATTATATACATGCAGTGCAAATTGTCAAAACATTTCCAAGTCAGTATTTTATCTTTCACTGCACATTTGACTTATCAGTATGTATAACACCTGATAATTTTCAGACAGTAAATAAGCTGGGAAAATTTCAGTTCTGCGGATTATTGATAGTGATGTCACAATTTAAGAGTCATAATTAAATTGTGATAATTAACTTGCTTTTATGTAACTTACAGAGCTGGATAGATCTTCAGCAACTTTGAAAACTGGGTTAATGTACCGCAGTTTATATAAAGCAAGATACACTGCATACGAAAGAGAATCTTTGATCGTATGATTCGTATCTCGGCTAGCATGCTAGCTATATTCCTTTGACAAGATACTTTATCAATGCCACATCAATGTACCAATATAATAGAAAAGGAGAATTAAAATGAATTGAAATGCTTCAAATTAAATCACACCAACATGGTTCAAAGGCATTTTGTAGCATCTTGAGAAATAACTAACAGTGTGCAAAGACCATTTGATCTTATATGAGTTTTGAAAATTATCCAGTCTACTCCATAATGATTTGGATATAATTTGTAGCCTGGATCTGAAGTGAAATTTGAGAAAACCTGTAATCAAACGTGAAAAAAAACATAACATTTTGATTTCTCAGCATAATAAATCAGATTTTAGAGGGGAATAGAGTACACTAAATTTATAATGTTGGTGCAAAGAGGTTAGGCTTAAGATAATTTTCATTTTTGACAGTCTGAAATTTTGTTTTGTGATATAATGTGATGAAGCATGCAGCAATAATATGTTCCACAGGGAATTCAGTTTAAATGATTGAATAAATGATTAGGTAATAATAAAATCAATTTTCATCAAAGCCAGATTAGCTATGACAAATCAGAAAAGACAAACGCATAGCTGTTTAGAATTAAAAGAAAGAACAATAAACAGTAGCTCAAAAATGGCACTTTGATCACTCTGAATGCAGGACAGATATATCCATCACTGATACCTAATTTTTCGCTCCACTCCCCCACCATTTTAATTTTATATATACAGTAAAAAGTATTGTTTTCTGCAGAAATTCACAGATGCATAATAGCATCAAACTGAGATCCAGAATAACAAAAAAATGCAACTAAATTTATCATCTCAATACATAAGGCCTCTGATAGCATCAGATGACTGGTAAATATTATGGTACTGTTTTCTGACAATAATAAACAAGTGAGGTGGCTTCATAAGATGTGGAAAAAATTGTACTAAAATTGGTATAGTATAGTTATTTTTTTGGAATAATTATAACAAACATGGATTTCCAGCCATTTTTATTTTTTGGACAAGAATTACTATTACAATTATAATCCTTTTATTTAGACAATCACTAATGGGATTACATTTCATTATGTTCTTTAATATTAAATATTTAATGTTTAATTGGAATGTTTAATTATACAGATTTATGAAATTTGTCAAAACACAGGTTCCCAGTTACTTTCCAGGTGCAATTCAATGTGCTCACTATCATTTTAAAAGCCGTACATGGCATGGGGCTAGGTTATTTGCCATACTACCTCTCCCTCAAGGTATCTGCCTTTCCTTTTAGGTTAGATAATGTGAGTGTATTCCAGTTGCCCACTCTTACATTTGCACCTGATAATACTAAAAGGCATATCTTCCTGGTGGCTACCCCAAATCTTTGGAATGGTGTCCCATCTGAGATCTAAGGGATCCTACACTTTTAGCCTTCTGGAGAGTTAGAAGACCTTGCTTTTCTCTGAAGCATTGGGCTAGGATGGGTTGAGTTGGGAAGCCATTGATCTGGCACCTGGGAGGAAAGGGTAGTTAGGTTTTTAGTTGTGTTTTAAAAGATTGTTTTGAACTATTTAGAATCAGTGTATAAAATAGACAGTTGTAAATGTTTTGTAAATAAATAAATACATCAAATGGCAAAAGAATATAATAAATATTATGGATATATAAGAACTTGGAATAAATCTAATATTTTGTAAATTGTCAATAAGGTATCTATATATTAAGATTCATCTTAATCTATGAAATTATTCCTTGAAAAAACATCTTGTTTAAAAGATATAAATATGTAATTCTGTATAGCTGAAGTAAAGAAAATACCAAGTGTAGAAAAAAATACTCAACAATTTATGGCGAAAAACAAATATATTATGGCTTCAACATTTACATATTCTTTTCATCCTGATTATCATTTTTCCCAAATAAACCAAACAAGATGCATAACTAGATGAACTAATTCTATTTTACGATAAGGCTACATTAAGAAATCTTGTTGTCTGAAAGTACAAACTTCCTGTCACTGCTTTTAACCATATGAAAGTTAGGAAAGTTCTTCCTCATTCTTTTCAATAACCATTAAACCACTGACAGCTCTTGCCTCTCTTGTCTGATTATCTTTTTCCCTCATTCCCCCAAATCATTCCTACATTCCAATTCACTAGGTCAGGATTATGCTCTCTGAAACCTAAATCAGAAGTGCCTTGTGCTGAGCCTGAATTATCACTTTCAGATGCTTGGCTGTCTGTTAATCCCTCAACTACGGCTTAGAGCAGTGATGGTGAACATTTTAGAGACCGAGTGCCCAAACTGCAACCCAAAACCCACTTATTTATCACCGTGTGCCAGGTGGGCATGGCCTACTGGATGGGCATGGCTGTGGTGGTCATGGCAGATTGGGTAGGTGTGGCCAAGGTGGTCGTGATCACCTCAATGTTGCTCATGGGGAGGGATGCCTATGGGGGCCAGGCAGGATTGGGGGAGATCCAGAGGGTCTCTGGCAGGTGGGACAGTGGACAGGAGGCTCGTCCTGGGGGGGGTGAGGCGAGGCAGGGTGGGTGTCATTGTCACAGGGCAAGGCAAGGCAGGGGCCAGGGCCGCTGCTGCCTGACACCATCGGCCCCTGCACACAGAAGCCAGCAAGCGCATGGGTGCTGGGATGCATCCAGCCATGTGGGACCTCGGTGAGTTAGCGGGTGGCTGGTTGAAGAGGGATGGTTGCCATCTCTGGGGCATGGCGTACGTGCCCACAGAGGAGGCTCTGAGTGCCGCCTCTGGCAAGCGTGGCTTAGAGCAGTGGTTCTCAACCTGTGGGTCGGGACCCCATTTGGGGTCGAACGACCATTTCACGGGGGTCGCCAAACAATGCAGTCCGCCATTTTTTCCCCCTTTTCCTTAGCTGTGCTACTCCCTTTTATTCTATTGGCTTTTGAAAGCCAATAGAATAGACTCTCTTGAATAGAGTCTAATTCTATTGGCTTTCAAAAGCCAATAGGAATTGTCCAGGCTGTCTCTGCCCTGATGAGCCTGTCAAAAGTCCCATTCTGCAAACAGTGCTGCACCAGTTGAGTAGTCCTCGACTTACGACCGGGTGAGTAGTCCTCAACTTACGACCGGTTGGGGGTCACGGCATTAAAAAGGTTGAGAACCAGTGGCTTAGAGTCTGAGCAGCCTCCTCTTTGCTCTGAATATCAGAAGTGTCCACAACAAGATTCCCTCACAGAGTGAACAAAAGTGGGGGAGGGAGCCACCTTTCAATATTCTCTTCAAATATCACTGATGGCTCACCTATTCTGCCTTTGGAGTGTAACAATTCAAAAACAGATACAATCTTGTGACTGATTCTTTTAAGTGGCAGATTAGTGAAGATTGAATTAATGAAATGGCTATATGAAATTAAATAATTTTATTCCATTTATCATGCTGATCTGATCTCCTGTGCTCATCTTTTCCATAATGTATACTAACCTAAGCACATAGCCTCCTTTTAACATAAGAGCAACACATTTTGTATCTGGCATTAAGTTCTGGAAAGATATATATAGCTTGTAAAACCCTCCCACATCATTCTGTGATGGAAAGAAGAAAAAATGGCAGTTGCTTTCCTTGCACAGGTGGGAGAGCTTTAGTAAGTGCAGTCTGGATATAACACATAGTTATCATTTTTGCCAAAGTAGAAAAAGAGGTAACAACTGGTTCCTTTTCAGCTGGTTTATGCAAAATGGACAAGCAGGTGAAGGCTGCCACTCAGAACAGTCTTGGTTGCTGGTTCTCTGAATCCATGGAGTGATTGGTGAAGTTAGATAACCGGAAGTTATAAAGATGTAATGGTATAATCAGTGCTTTTTTTGTAAAAAAAAAAAAAAAAGGTGCCGGAACTCACACATGTCATATAACCTGCCTTGCCTATCCTACAAGGTTCCATCCAATAAAGGTGCCGGAACTCCGTTCTGGGCGTTCTATGACAAAAAAAGCCCTGGGTATAATAATAATAATAATAATCCCCCAGTGAGGCACTACCTTGACGTGGTTGTGGGGCTTGTGTACTCTGAGGAAGATGAGAGCTATGCCAGAGGTTCAACCATACTGGATAGGTCTCATCAGAGGAGTCAGACAAAGAGTGTCTCTCCCATAAAAAATATGGTGAGACGTAAATTGCAGAATGCCATACCGGCTCGGACGTCGCCCGGGTTAACAAGGTCCGCGCTAGATATTGGAGTTCCTGGATATCTGGTGAAAAATGGGTTACAGGACTCAGGACTGTTGGCTGAGCAACCAGGGCCAGCAGCTGCAGAACTACTGGAAGAAAAGATGTTTACCCGTCGCAGATACACAGTGATTGAAAACAAAGAAATAATGATCTGTTACTACAGATCAAGTCCAACAAGAAGAGGATATCTAAAATGAATGTACCAGTTCTGGAAAGAACAACATCCAGAATCAGAAATAACAGAACAGAGACTAGCAGATCAACGCCGATTTATAACACAAAATAAAGTATTAAAACACAGAAACAGAATTGGACGAACTGCAAAGGTTTACCCAGGGCAAAGAAATCAAAGCCTTACCAGAAGTAATTCAGAATGTAGAGGCAAACTAGGGGGAGTTGGCAGTGAAGGAATCCAGCAGAGATATACAACTGTTCTCATTTGGAAACCAGGCACCTCTTCCTCAGGAAGAACAAAACCCTCTAACTAAAGAAATAGAAGAATTGAAACAAAGAATAACTG